GGACTAGGATGTTTTCAGAGTAAAAGCAAACACAACTCAGTGCTGAGCAGACTCATGCTAGTTGCTTGTGGTCCTAAGATGAAATTACATCTAGCTCAAGCTCGAATTTTGGTTCCTGGTCTATCTTTGGCACCGAGCTTATCATATAAGAACTGAAAAAAGGCTACTTAGTTCGCGAGAATCGTTACTGCTGTGGCTGACTTGACTGAGAGTTTTAATTTTTTGGTAATTTCTTGAGGGGGATGGGATAGTGCTATAGTAAGGCGGTGCTATAATGTTCCATACGTCAAACATACTGAGAACGAAACAACTCTGTGCCTTAGAAAAGGATTCACAGTGATAACTCTAGTTCTATATTCCAAATATGGCGGAACACACTTTTAGGGGTTTTGGAGTAGTCGCTTATTCAGTTCATCTCACTAATATGATCACTTATAGACCGATGAAGGAGAAAGTATTACCCTGATTCATCCCGCATTGGGATACGCCACACATTCCACTCTCACTTAGAAGAGTGATGGCACTTGGAACGCGATTCGATCTAATCAGTGACTTTCGAGAGCTAACCGATGTCACAACTCGGGGTTCTCACTCCTGGACAAGTTTGGTACCATTCACCCTGTCTCTAAGAGACAGAAGGCTCTGTCAGCACAAAAGTTGTACCATTCTTCCCGGAAATCCTCGTACCTTGCGTATGATAAGCAGCGATGCTTCCCGCTACACAACTGATGCCCTTATAGGCTGATAATATAATACAGCCATTTATACCCCAAAACGTTTTTCGTGGTTCCCAATCAAAGGCCCAGATGAGCATCTTTTGCATCGAGGAAGTGATTAAGTGGTTAGTTAGAACGAATCGAGCCCTCTTTGGGGAGCAGATAACTCGATCGCTGTGTCCACAAGGGATAAATCGAATTCGAGCGCGATTGTGCAGCGAGCCGACTGGACGGCTGAGGCTGAGGCTCGAGGAGACGAAATTGCATGAGCGTACAAAGTGGCGGAGGCCTCTGAAGGAACGACGACGACGAAACCCAATATATTAAATGCAATTTCGTTTATTGCATGAATTATTTTCTCGGATTTGATTCACAAAGAGCGTGGGAAAACGCGGATGAGCGTGGGAAACCGGCTGGTTCGTGGATTTTGAGCGGAAAAAGAGTAGGAACGGATTTGAGAACATTCGCATTTTATTTTTTACAGTGCTCTCGCCTTAAGTCGCTATTTGTCGGCATAGTAGTTAGTTTCAGCTTCAGCGGTAAGCGCTTCTACCGATAGAG